TTTTTTTAACACAATACTATAAATTTAATTTTCTTTGAGGTATGTAATGCAACTCAAGTTCAAAAGCCAAACTTAATTCTTTCAACTCAAGATGATAGTTTTTCATAAAAATATCTGATAAAAGTCATTTGTCAAAGATAACAAAAAAGAATTAAATTCTATTTCAAAGAGTATATAAGTACAAGTTGGAAATTAGATATTGAACACAAGTGGCATTTATAATTTAAAAAAAATTGTGTACACAAAACATTATTTTGCTAAAGCACAAACACAGGCCATTGCATGTTCAATTCTCTCCTCCCATCAATTACTTCTGCTATTCAATATTTGCAGTTTTTAATAAAAAGCTTTTATAATAATTGTAAAATTTGGTTTTAAAATTAATAATAAAAAATTCTAACCAATGTCACCCCAATAAATTTTTAAAAATTAAAATAAAAAAGAGACTCTAGCATTTCCTAATCTTTGCCTACCACTAAAAAGATCCACTCACTTGCCATTTCCCAGGTTTATGGCAGATTTTCATAAATTAAGATGAAAATCTACTATACCTCAAAGGTGAAATCTTAATGAATATGGTTGCAAAACTGAGATAAAGTTTTCATGTCCCTGGCCTCCCAAAGAAAGTGTTCTCACTCTGCCCTAGCTGGTTTGGCTCAGTGGATAGAGCATCGGCCTGCGGACTGAAGGGTCCCAGGTTCGATTCTGGTCAAGGGCATGTACCTTGGTTGCAGGGACTTCCCCAGTAGGGGATGTGCAGGAGGCAGCTGATCGATGTTTCTCTCTCATCGATGTTTCTAACTCTCTATCCCTCTCCCTTCCTCTCTGTAAAAAATCAATAAAAATATATTTTAAAAAAAGGAAAAAAAGAGTGTTTTCACTCTTTAATCTTCAATAATCCTATCATTAAAAGCAATACATTCCTGAAGACAACTAGTATGGCCCCATTCACCTACTATATATCTGACTGTCTAGGGCTGCATTGAAGCTGGGTCACATTACCCTGTCCTAAATACTTAAGGCTTAAGTCTCTCCAAACACCTGGGGATCATGCTGAAAATCCCGAGGGACACACATTACATATGCCAATTATATTTTCATAAATTCAGAGTTATACTAATTTTGGCCAATCTCTGTTATCAGGTTTCCTATGGTTATCTAGCCCCTAAATTCTACTTCATACGGCTACAAGGGGCTTTTCTCTTTCCTTTGGAGGATATTTAATTTTGATGTGCTTGTTCTCAGTTGTCTGCCTACAAAGGTAACCAGTTTTCTCTCTGAGGCTTTTAAGATTTTCTCTTAATCCTTGATTATGAAATTTCATTAAGGAAGTATCTAGGCAGGGATATTCTTTTTCATTCATCCTGAACTGCACTTGGTGTTCCCTTCGTTCTGCAAACTGTCTTTCTTCATCTTTAGGAGTTTTCTTCATTTTTACCTTGAATTTGTTTTGGCCAGCATTCTCTTTCTCTAGAACTCCTGTTAGATAATATTGGAACTTCAGGACCTTCTCTCTGTTTCTTAACTTTTCTCTCATAATTTCAGCTCATTAATTTAGTAACCATTTTGAGGTGAGTTTGTCCATTCTGCTTTTCAAATAATTTGCTGAGATTTTAAAAAACCTTTAATTTGTAACTTTTCTAGATGTCTTTTATGAATGCCAATAGTTGCCTGAATTGCTCTAAAAATATCATTTAAACTTGCCCTAAAAGCTTCTTTAGTTTATACTATTGTTTTTCTTTGTTAATTCTTAATTTGCTGACTTCAGCACCCATCTATGGCATTAATTACATTAAAATATATGGATTTTTTTGGTTGTTCTAGTCCTCTTTATATCTGAGAATCACTAGTCATTTGCCTGCTACATATACACTAGCCGGCCTAAAGGGACTGGGTGGGGAGAAATGAGATGTGATACTGTGAAGGGTTCCACAGCTGCTCTTCAGCTGCCCTTGGGAGTATTGCTCTACCTTTCCAGCTCCAATGCCCACACTCAACACCTGACCTATGGACAATATCACAGTTAAGTGCTACTCAAACGGAAGAATGCTTTGCTGTTCAGCCCCCCACTGATCATCTAATGTTTGCCGCAGCTATAAACTTTGTGGCTGTAATCTTACAGGTTCTAGTTTCTTCTGGTTGGATCTGGTCCTATCTGCTTTCTACCTTATAGGAATTCTCCCCCACTTCACCCCCCTCCCCCCCAAAATACTGTTAAGTTCCCAAAGGACATTCTTTTTTGTTTTCAACGCTATTACTAATATATTCTATTGTCATTTCATAGGATATGGGCAGGAGAACAGTAAAAGTATGTGTTCAGATTGCCAATGATCCACACTGACCAAGGAGAATGTCAATGAGCTGCGATCTCCAATCCTTGACTAAAGTTTCTCCTGCCAATTCTTGGCTAGCTCATATTCCTTTTTCTAGTAATTTCTTCAAAAGGTGGTCATACTTGATGGACAGTTTCTCTAGATATAAAATCGTTGACTCACATTGTCTTTTCCTACCTTCTGGATGTTGCTTTAATGTTTCCTGAACGTAGCTGTAGAGAAATCTGATACCAGTCTCATTTTATTCCTCTTACAGACTGACTTGATCATTTTGCCTACTTTCCCCCTAAAATGGCTTCTTTATATTTGAAATGCACTGTTACTAACATATGTTTTAGAATTGAATGTATAGGTCAACATTTTTCCTTTCTGATTATAACACACCCTTTTGAAATGTGAAATAGTCTTCTTTCTTCAGGAAAGTCTTCTTGAATTTTATTATATTTGTTGTTCCATTATTTTGTTTTCTGTAGTTAACATCTTCAATTATATGTATGTTGGCTTATTTTTGCCTGTCTTCTCTATCTATAATTTCCTGACTAATCCTTTTCTTAATCTTTATTTCTATATTACCTGCTCTTATTTCTATACTATATAACCCTTACCTATTCTTCATTATGCTCTATGTAGATTAGTTTTCATTTCTGAAAATGCTACTATGTTTTCTTCAGTTTCTTTCCTGAATTTTACCAGGTCTCGTTTCACCTGTTCCTCTTATTTGGTCATCTCATCTGCACAACTGAATTTATGCTTTGTAGTTTTCTTCAAAGTTTCAAGCTTCATTAAATCATTTATCTGTTCGGACACTGATATATAATTTTCATCTGCTATTGTGCGAAGGAAAGTTTTGCTGGTCTTCTTTTTATTAATTTTCTTTAGAGTACCTCTCTAAAAATTCTGTGTTTTAAACTTTTTAAATGTTCATATTTAAATTTGTTGAATTTCCCTGGACCAGATAACAGAAGGTTCCTATGAAAGGGTAATGTTCTTGCTCAAGGACTCCCTCTTCTGTTGCTACTGAATTAAATGGCTTCTTCAAAATGTAGTCCATCTGTGAAGCCCTGTCTTTTTTAAAACTCATCTGTGTGTGTGTGTGTGGGGGGGGGGGGCAGGGGGGCTGTTTCTATCTCAAGACTTGAGCTCCTCCAGTTCCTTCACCAGAGATTGCAAAAGGAGCACTGTTCGCATTTGTCACGTTGTTTCCCATACTTTTAGAAGATGGTGCTTTCTGACATCTCCCCTTCTGGGCCATTCTGGGTGCTTTGCACATGCTATCTCACTAACTCCCCCAGAGGCTGCCCTGCTAAGATGTACCTCTGCTAGGCTCCCTCTACATTCCCAGTTCTCCCCAGTTACATTACTGTCAGCTTTAATACAGGTTCTGAATATTTCAGTTATTTTTGGCTAAACTTACAAGAAATTGGGAGTTGTGGGTTTTCTTTGGCTCCTGGTTTTGCTGAATATGTGACTTGTGTTTGTTTTTTTAATCTTTTTTTTTTTTTTTTTTGGTTTGGCTCTCATTGTTCCTGAAAATCACACAAAGCAACAACATCGAAAGCTTCAGAACTAAGCTGCCACTATGTTCTTAATAAATCCAAAGCTTTAAATTTATTAACTGTTAAATTCAAAATTGCAAAGTAACTTTTTAAAGCATTTTCATGCCTCTAGCTTTCTCACATTCTTGAGCGTTAAGTGTCAAATCTTAAAGTGTCATGAACAGCCCTAAGTAATTTTGAAGTTCCAACTTATAGCTTTATTTACATGAAATAAAATAGAAACTAGAGGCTTATACAGATTACAAAAGGTCACAGAGCTCGTTATTAGCCTAATTAGCACTGAAATCCTCATTTCTTCACACCTAGTGTTCTGTTATAACATCGAATCAGTTGAAAACCAAACATTTAACAGAACCTAGCTTCCAAGGAACATTTTATTGTATCAAAGTCAAGAGAATCAAAGACCATACATAAGGACAATATTTGTACTTAGACTACCCCTAAGCTATTCTTTTTTTCAACTTGTAAAAATAAAGACATAAACATCTTTTGTAAAATAAATTTGTAACCAGTTGAAAGCAAGAAAATAAATTGTCTCCCTCCAAATGTTATCTGTTGATGTTTTGTTTTTAAAAGATCAGAACCAGCCAAACTTTTTTTGGAGCTCTTATTTTCCAAATGAAAACACTGAAGATGTCACAGGGAAGTGCAAAGCTTTGCAAAGCTCAGTTATGTAGAGCCAGCAGAAGTTCCAAATTCAATCTGGGGAATACTTGAGGACTAATGTTTTTGATTTTCCACCCACCACTTACTTGATAGGCATATAACCCACTCCTCTTTTCCTTACCATTCTCCTATAACAACTAATTGTTAATATAAATATAGCAAAAGAATACTTTTAAAGTAAGTAATTAACAAAAATATGTAATAATAAATAAAGACTTGGTTTTAACTCATATAAGATAGGAGATAAGCTAGGTTTAAACTAGATTCGATCATAATTATAGCACCATCTCCTATTTCTCAAGTACTAGACAATGCTATGTTCATCATTATAGTGTTAAAGATTTTTTGAAAGTTTTCTCTCCCCCACACTCCAAAAAAATCTTTGGACATGGTTTGAATCAAATAAAACTGCCTACAGAATTCAAAGTGGTTACTGTTTTGTTTGAGGTACTGAATTATACTGAACTGATTGACATGGAGTACATATTCAAAAATAGATAAAAATGTTAATGACACTGATGGAAATGATGAGACTTACATGCATATTAATATGTTAATATTAAAATGGCTTACAATATTGCTATGTGTAGTCTTGTCAACATCATTATATGATTTTTTATTGGTACCGATTTTAAACTTCATCTAGTTTATGTCAAATTTCTATCTGTTTTATAATGTTTGTGATTATATACAGAGGTAAATATATTTCACACAAATTGGAAGAAAAGCTTTAGATTTCAAATTCCTGAATTCATTATAAAGTAATTTAAAATTTCTTCCAGGAATGTAGAATAAGAAGTTTTAAAAGGGAAAACTGTTATTGTTATGATTCCTAGATATTTTTTATACAACTAAATTTGTTTTTCCTAATATGTACTGCTCCATCAACTATCTAAAGTTTTTATAAATTAACATTTGTGTTCTGAGATCTTAGTATTTTATCCTGCCCTATATATGAGAAAAAAATTTTAAAGGATAACTCTACAACTACTGGCACAAGTTATTTTTATTTTCTGTCATAGGTATTTGTAATAGAAATCTAAGAGATAATTTAGATTATTAAGCATAACATGTGACATAAACGCTAACAGGAAGTTACCAAGCACTAACTAATTCTACCATATATTTATCTGTGCACCAAACCTGATGATCAAACACCAATTTCGGCCCTCCATCAGCAGCAGTATCCTCACTGAGTAACATCCATGTGTTAGTGTCAATGTCATAACGATAAAAGTCACTCTTCAGAGATTTGCTGTTCCTCACAGAGGAATCCAAATAACGGCCCAATGTGTAGATTTGCCTTCGTTGAATGTCAATGCACATTTTATGACATGATCTGGCACTGGGACCATTCTATAGAGAGAGAGAGAGAAAAAAAAGAAATTAAAAGAATAACAAAATAAAATTAAATGCCTCTTTTTGTTGACTTTCATTACAGAAACTCATAGCAAGTCAACTAACGTAAGTCCAACACTAGGCTTAAATCTCTCAAGAAAAGCAAAAGTAGTAGTAGGAGATAAAACTCTTTCCTTAGAAATGCTTAAAATCCGCCAGGAAAGATGAGATGATCTATTCTGTACCCTATGGCATTCTGTTCATAACACTTATATGGCTTCTATTACATACTCCATTGCATTTTAGTCATTTGTGCACAGTTTACTTCTCTATTATGTGTTGATCTACTTAAAGACACATTTAGTCCTTTAAAATATTTCTCATCAGAATTTCTCACCAGAATCTAGCACAGATAGGCATTCCAAGAATATCTAGAATCACTGAATTTCATAACTAAAAGGACACTTTGTAAAATCTCTAGTTTAATTATCCCCTTTAAAGACAGGAACTAAAAGCCAAAAGATAAGCCTGAAAGCTAGTACACTAGTGAGAGAAGCAGAATGAGAATCCAAATCTTTGACTTTTTCATCTACCCTTTATATTATATAAAAGTGACTTTCCTGACTGAATAAATAACACAACTAGGGGGAAATAGGAAGACCAGTATATTTAAAAAAAATTAATTAGTTGAGATAATTTGTATCACAGGACTGAATAAAAGGTAAAAATTATTATAGTACAAACTAAAAGTAGAGTTCATGAGGCGAAAAAAAAACACCTTCAATTGGGCAGGATTGAATTAGTTAAAAGATGGAAAAGAAAACAGAACTAATATTTATTAAATATCTCCTAAATTCTGTCTATATTTTTACTATGTGTGTGTGTATATTTCATTTAATCTACATAACAACTCTATAAGGAAATATCATCATTTCATAGAGTCTAAGTAATTTGTCCACAGTCACAAAACTAGAAAGTAAGATAGAGAATCTAAGCCCCAGGACAACCAAAGCAAAAACTATGTTCTTTCCACTATTCCAGATTGGTTTTTTTCCATTAGAGAAACAAAAGCAAAAATACACTTACTACAACGTGTATGATTATGACTGAGATGAACAATTCCTG